ATGCGTGCCCTCCTGCACTAGTCAGATGGCCACGCAGGTGTGGCCCAGTGGGCCTAGCAGATTCTGAAGGTATGACACCGTCTCCCGAAAGACCATAACAAAAGGCGCCTTAGCAATGCCAATCGGAGTACATTGTAGTAGAGTACCTAGCTATCATAAGGAAAGCCTACGGAAGAGCATTAGCAGTTCTTCACGCTTGATGAATACGTGTCAAAATGTCTGAAAAGTTGCCAGTTGTCTCCAAAACCGAAGCTAGATGATAAAGGCCAGCTGTACCTCCAGATGGCGCGTCTAGCATGCATGCCACACAGATGCCATGCGGCTTCAGCTCTCACAACTGGGCCATACGGTTCAGGGTTAAGGGGAATACTTTTTTGAGTCGACATGTGACGAATAGCACTTCCAACTTTGGATCACTACCAGCTTCCTTCAAAGTTGCACAACTATGAACTATGTGTTAAAGGAAACCCCCATTCTGCTAGACCTTTAGCTACAGCTACAGCATGTTCTCGGGTTTGCTGGCTGGCACCGGTACTGGTCATTGAGGGGCCCGGTGCCACACAGAAAGGTAGCATCTTTCTGCACCCAAGTAAGACAGCAGGAAGGAATCCAAGTGACGAGTGAAACGAAGCAAATTTGCCCCCTCCATAGTTGTTACGAAGCATTTCAGGGCGTAGAAAAGAGGGAAGCTGCGCGCAGCCAAGCGCACATCGGACTTATCGAGAAAATCTGCAACCGCTGGTCCGTGCGCGGGCTGCATGCAGCGAAGTGCTGCATCGTCCGGCGAATTCTAAGCCAAACAAACTAGAACCGCTGGTCCATGTGCGGCCTTTGCCACACATACTGCTAGGACATTTTGGGAACGTACGGTCGCACTCACCAACATCCAGACGAACGGTGGCTCTTTGGAGCCAAGTCTTGCTTCATCGCTAGCTCCTGCACGAGTGGCGGCTGCATGAGAGTGCGGGGTGGGAGCAGTGAGCCCCACAGCATAAACCCTAAATCCGAAATCGCAAGCGCCCAAAGGTCCATGGGTGGTTGCCGGTTCAAGCGAGAAAGTAGCGAAGGAGCTGTTGACATAGTGTTTGCAAGGTTTAAGCCAGAGATAAAGAAATAGGCAAATGGAGGGATAGAGAGCTACAAGGAGAGAGAGAGAGAGAGACAATAGGGAACTGGATTACATAAACGAAATATAGATAGACAGTTAGACAACGGATAGCTACAAACATAGAGATAGATAGACAGATAGATAGATGGATAGATAGATAGATAGATAGATAGAAAAGTAGAAAGGTAGGTAGGTAGATAGATAGATAAATAGAGAGATACATAGACCGACAGATAGATAAAAAGATAGATCGATCGACAGATAGATAGATAGATAGATAAATAGATACGACAGATAGATAAATAGATAGATCGATCGACAGATAGATAGACAGATAGATAGATCGACAGATAGATAAATAGATAGATCGATCGACAGATAGATAGATAGGTCGATAGATAGATAGCTGGATAGCTAGCTAGCTGTGCAGGTAAATAGACAGACAGAAAGAAATTAAAGAAAGACAAATACATAGACAGACCGACAGAGCGAGAGAGAGAGAGAGAGAGAGGGAGAGAGACAGAGAGAGGCAGAGAGAGAAGATGCGACAAGATAAGCAGTATAAGACAAGATAGGAAGGATAAGGCCAAACAACGCAAAGCAAGATAATACAATATCAGATAGGTGGATTACGATATAAGGTAAGGTAAGGCAAGATGATACAAAAGTGGAGTTAGGATACGGTGAGATGAGAAAAGATAAGGTACGGTAGCATTTTTCACAGACGTTACGATGAAGACAAGATGACAAAACTAAGAGAGAAGTGGATAGATACACAGACACACAGACAGGCAGTAAGAAAGACTGGCTAGACAGACAATTAAACAGTCAGACAGATAGCAGACAGACAGAGACAAACCGACAGACCGACCGATTAGTCTAGTGCTTAGAGTTTCGGCGCTCGCAACTCGGAAAATCCAGGCGAGGCACCTGTCTGTAGGTCCATGCGGCGACAACACAATGATAATGGGACTTGTGCCCGGTGACACTACAACGGTACAGTACCAACAACCGGCCAAAAAGGCACTGACCGTCCCAGCAGAATTCCTATAGACACAAACTGATTAGTTGAGTACGTCGCCACACATACACGATCAATACGGCGGTCAAGTTAACGGGAAGTAGGAATCGCAGCCCGAAGCAGTTAGTAACGGTGGAGAGTAGGGGGCCTCAGACTTTTTCGGCATTTCGGGTTCATAGGCATCGCGTCAACGGGAAGAAGGGAAGGGTTAGAGCCGGGCAGAATCACAGCCCGGGCATAAACACGGTTGGGAGCATAGGCTTTTTAGACTTGTTTAATTAGGGTTTAGGGTTTAGGCTTGTTTATGGCTTAGGGATTAGACTTGTTTATGGTTTTGCTTTGCCTCGTGCCTGGCTAGGACGAACCTACGATGCAGGGTCACAGACTGTTTATGGTTTGGGATGTTTAGGGTTTAGACTTGTTTAGGGTTGAGGGAGCTCGGTGTCGATAGGCAACTGTGCCACGCAGTGTTTTGGAGCAAAGCCTTTGTCATGGGCGATTCTGCCATCATCTCATCACTTGTCGAAGCGCTCCCTGCCTCCAACCGCAACTGTGGAACACCAAAAACCTGCAATAAACCCTGCATTTCATATGGGTCCTCGGGCGGTGGACTGCGCGACTGCTTCAGCAAGGCCGTGTACGAAGGGTCTTCCCCGTTCGCGATCTGCCAACGTGATCGAGCTTCCGTCACGGTGCAGCACCGAACAGCTGCAGAAATAGGCCCTGCCTAAGCTAACAGTTTTTACAAAGTGCATGGAAGCACCTCCTAGAGCAGAAATGTAAGCTTGAGTCTTCAGACTCAGGCTCCCCGCCTTGACTTTTGCATCTTGCCGCTCCTCTCTGGCAGTTGTACGGCAGAAGCATCGATGACACATCGGGTTCAATCCGTGTTCAATCTAAAGCCACCCAACCTGTAGCTGCAATGACACCTTGTACTGGAACGGCAATGACATGAATCACACGCCCTGGAAAGAGTTGTAGACTAAGGAGAGTTCAGGCCAAGTTCGGGCACATCTCACGGCATCGCGCGGTGCTGACGACGTGTCTCCTGGTGCTTTCTCTCGAGGTGCATGACCCGGCGGACGATGAACCTGGAGCTGATCGGCATCATGTGGCTTAGGGGTTTAGGGCTTAGGGCTTTCGGATTTAGGGTTTAGGGGGGGGTGCAGATCTACATAAATTTCGCCTGCCGAAGCAAGGCAGCAATAATGCTGTCGGGAATGGCTTTGGCAACGGCGCCTAGCACTCATTGCCTCTGTGGTTTAGCAGCATGCCTGGGTGTTGGAAGCATCAAAGTGAAGGTACAAGGGCAAACCACTAAATGCCCGTTTGGCACAGCATCTATATCTACATGTGTATTTGTATCTGCATCATATACCTATCCATGTCTATCTAGGACCATCAAGAAAGTGATTCAAGCAAAATGGGCAAAGGAGCATTCGCCAGGCAGGCAGCACAATCGCCACAGCGCCTCAGTGCAAGACTCTCCCAATGGCACTGTTCAGCGTGCAGCGAGGTAGGTAAAGTTGAAGCTGCAAGTTGAGGAAACGGCGTCCTACAGGAGTGACCCAGCATCCTTAGCAACAGAACCGAGCTATCACCAGCACACTGCACCTCCGGCATTGGCAAATGTTCAGAGCTGGGAGAGCGATTGTTGGCCGCAGCCGGACTCAGCGTCGCAACGGCCAGGTCAACCGGTGAGTGGGGTGGGAATCCCACGAACCGCCAAACCAGCACCATCAGTGTCAGTTGGACCAGAATCGTGAGCACCAGCCGCAGCACCCAAGCAAGCATCATCAGCCTCAGCAGCAAATCGCTACACTTAAACTCTCCATGATCAGCATCAGCCGATATTCTCATCAGAAGCGTGCGCATTCGCAGGCAGCGTTATCAGTATCAGCTCGCGGGGCGTCGTATTCTGAGCACCCGCCGGGCCAGCATCATCAGCATCAGCCACGGCACCCAAGCAAGCATTAGCAACCTGAGCAACCAATCGCTACAGCCGAACTGTCCATGATCAGCATCAACCGATATCCTGATCAGCGGCCGCAGTCGGACCCCAGCATCAGCTGGGATCATCAGCATCAGCCCGAGGGGGGTCTCGTTCTGGCACCCACCAGGTCCAACATCATCAGCATCAGCGGGACCGGAATCGTCAGCATCAGCCAAACCATCCCAGCATCATCGGCATCAGTCGGCGGGCCTTGTTCCTCTGATCATCAGCATCATCGGCACAAGCCAGACCAGCATCGCCAGAGCGTCATCAGTATCAGCCGGCGTTCTGATCACCAGACGGGGCGGTCGTGCCAGCATCAGGGTATAGGTGCCTTCATACCTTTAGGCAGGCTTCAAGCGACCAGTTGGGCCCAGCCGGGGGTATCGGCTAGCACGATCAGTCACATTCCATCAGCTAAGCCCTATCCCCACATAATTTGACGGAAGACGACCCTGGCAAAGATTATGGTATGGGAGCTTCAGGGACATGGGGAGCCCGAAAACAGGGACGCATCATTGTCTCACAGACTCCTCCTATCGCTCGACCCCTGAGACGAGGAACTCGAGCCCACGGAAAGTGAAGCTCAAACTCTTCATCCCTGAACGGCAAAAGCTTCCTGAACCCAGGGTTTCATGTTTCGAACTTCCGATCTTATTCTCCAAGGCCTATAGCCGGTTTAGGATTTAACTGACTTACAGCGAACCCCAGAAAGTGAGAACATGGACTTCGGGCGGTTAGTGCTGGCATCGGGATTCCTCAAACTTTAGGGTAAGGTAATGATATGTAATGGTGTTCCCATTTTCTGGCTTCTACTTGAAGGTGTTGCGCCCCAAGACTGAACCCTAACGCTGGACCCGACCATGCGCCCCAGGTGCAAACGGTGAAGATCAACTTCATGGCCTCTGGGTGGATCGTTTCCTGCATTTTCACAGCGGCAGACAGAAGGACCAAAAAATTGGCAACAACATCGCCTGGGAGGCCGTATAGTAGAATTTTGACACTTCGAAGCCATGTCTTCAGGAAGAAGCAGGGAGGTTTGGGTCAGCTTAGAGAAGGTCCAGCAGAATCTGACAACATGCGGAGGTTGCGTGACAGCAGCCCGAGTAGCTACGCCACCTCACCATGCAAACATGCTTCGAATGTGCATAGGCGTAGCAATGTGTGCACAAGGAAAGCCAAGAAAGAGAGAGAGAGAGAGAGAGACAGACATAGACAGAAACAGAGACAGAGACAGACAGAGAGGTGGGGGATGGAGAGTCCGTGGGAACCTTTCACAACAGCATAAGCCCAGCAGCAAAGCTGGACCTCTCTCTGCATGAGGATTCCGCGCGGTTGTGGTCGAAAACTTTGAGGCTGTCGGCTACATAGTGGGGATGTGGCCACTGCGCGGATGAAAGTCGAAACCTTCGACCACAAGAGTGACAAGAGACTGCCTATCCTGCAACTTTATACCGAATCTTTCAACACAAACGCTCCCCAGTGTGTGTGTGTGTGTAGATATATATATATATATACTTAATATTTTTATACATATATATATAAGTATATGTATATAGGGATACGTTTTTGAAGATGGAAGCACGCGTAGCTTGAGTATGGGGTGGCTTGCTTTTGAATGTGTACTGTTGCAAACATACCCGGGAACACCTGGGTTATGATTACTGCTGATAATATTGTTGATGATAGAAATCCTGCATTACCTTAAGGACCCTAAACTATGGGAATTATGGTTATATTCCTTATTCTGGGTAATGCAGGATTTATATCATCAACCGTAATTCCGGCCCGTCTACCCAAGTCTTAACCCGAACCGAGCTCCTCGGAGAGTTCTTCAAGACTGTGCTCGAAGCACATCTCCCATGAGAGTCCTCACCGGAGAAGGTTTTTCGGGGTCGTTGGTTGAGGGACTCCTCCCCTAATTTAGGCTTAACTTCTTGGTGGGTTTAGGGTTGAGGGTTAGGCGGCTCAGGTTTGGGTTCAGCAATTAGGGTTCAGAGTGCAGAAAAGCTTCCTGGAGGGTGCAACTTTTGGCCTGCCTGGCATATCAGGGAGCCGGTAATCACAGCCCGAGGTATGGACTGCACGGAACAAAGAGCTACGGAGCTCACAAAGAGTTGCACGGTACCTCATCGAAGGACCAGAAAGACGAAGGGCCCCTAGAATCTCTGGTAGGTTTCCCCCAAGACCACAGGTTGTGTGGAAGTTTGGGGTTTTGCGGGTTAAGGGATTCTGTCCGATCAAGACGGAGAAGACGTTGATCATGTTCTGCAGGAGGCGCGGGAACCTCGTCGGCACAGGCAACACATTTGCATGGCGACCACTCTGCCGAAACGACACCCTAAACCCGAAACCCTACAAGCCCGAAACCCTACACCCTAAATCCTAGGCCCTAGACTGAGACCCTAAATCCTAAGCCCTACCGTCTTCGACCCTAAACCCCAAGCCCCGAGCTCTCTAACACTGCGCTTTGCAACGGGAAGGGCCTGAGCAAGCTGCTTCGAGGGTTTAAGGGTCAAAACTGCCCCCTGAGGTGTCCGGACAAGAATTGACTGGGCATTTGGAACTGCTGCGATGAGGGTCTCAGGGTGCTTATAGTTTGGTGGTTTAGGGCTTTAGCGTTTATCTCTGACCCTGAGCATGAGAGTTTCACTCACTAGTCGTGAGGACGACTACGACGAAGATGACTACCACTATGCTACTGACCGTGCCACTAGCATTGTTCACCTCTTCCACTGAGCCGGAGTCGAATTGGAAAATGCCATGAACCGCCCCTTCACACACCAAATTTCGCATGGACCCTGTGCTGCCGTGATCTGGCCTGGCTGCACGATCACCGCAGCACCTTACTACTTCATCCCAAAGATGCTACTACTTAATATCAATACTAAGACTAATACCAGGATACTAATACTAGGATACTACTACTACTGCTACTACTACTACTACTACTACTACTCCTGCCTAGGAACCGTCGCAACTGAGCCTTGCAAAAGCCAAGCCACGAGGCGCCCATGTCTTGGATGATATCAAGGACGCGGATCGCCGCGAGTGCGCCTGGGAAGACTTCTCACAGCAGCAGAAGAAGTAGCAGTAATGGGAGACGTAATCATAATTGTAGTAGTAGTGGCAGTCGTACTAGAGTAATAGTTAGTCGTAGTTGTTGCGGTGGTGGTGGTGGTGGTAGTAGTAGTAGTAGTAGCAGCAGGTGGAGGAGGAGGCGTGCTACATTCTTCTTCGCAGTACCAAGTTTAAAGCTGACTTTTTCAGAAAGTGTCGCCCCGGGGCCCATTTTGTTAGATTTCTACAACATTGACTTCCAGGTGGGGTAAGGTATGTCCTGGTTGGCATAGAGTATGAAAAGAAAGTAAAATATCCTAAAGTGGACATCAGGAACGAGGGACTGTGGACATACACTCCACCTTTTTGTTTGCAATAGTAGCAGGAGGAGCAAGAACTGCAGCAGCGGTGATGAGGACATCGCGGTCATTGAGGAGAGGTCGTGGTGCTTGCAAAACTCGTTTGTAGAGTTGTGGAGGTTGGCTCGAACCTTTCTAGACAGATGGTCCCACTTCTGGCAGGCGTTTCGAAATTTAGCTATGTGATATCATGCCCCACACATGACCGGTCTCTCGCAGCTATTCCCTGCAGGCAAAGTGGCACATTGAAAGGAAGAGAGCCGCAATCAGGTGACGCTCGTTGGGATAGAGCGTTGTGCCTGTTTCATCAGAGTATCTCATCCCCTATCTTCGTAACCAATCTCTTGACACGGTTACAACATATGCTAGTTTCGGCACCTACTCTAAGACTACATGGCATCTTGGAAAATCTTAAAGTCATTCCTAAGTCCTAAGGTTGCCTATAGCTACTGATGGTCATGGACATTCCTCTCGCAGATGCCGTGCCAGATGTCTTCAAATGCACGAATTATTGTCTCACGAAGCTGGCTGGTGCATGGTCCCTCATGGCCGTCCTAAAGGTGACTGCGATGACACAAGACCGTAGCCACTCCTGCAATCTTCATTCAGCACATCGCGGGACCCAAACACTGAAGGCTTGCAGACAAAACGGGGACTTGCGAACCACCGTGAGATGCATCCCTCCTCACGTCGGCGTGTGGAGAAGGATGCAGTTGATACAATCTGCGCACCACGATTCCGACAAACAGAAGGATGTGTTGTAGTGCAGGATGCAACAAGAATGCTGAGGCTGGTGCTGCTGCTGCTGCTGCGCCCCTCCTCCTACTACTCCTGCTGGCGCTGCTTGCTGCTACTAAATCTCCTACGTCTACGTCCTACTACGTCCTCCTCCTCCTCCTACTACTACTACTACTACTACGACGACGACTACTATTGATCCTACAGCTCCTGCTGCTACTGCTACTGCTGCTGCTACTGCTACTCCTGCTGCTGCTGCTGCTGCTGGGTACTAGTGCTAGGTACTAGGTACTAGTACTAGGTACTAGGTACTAGGTACAGGTACTAGTACTAGGTACTAGGTACTAGGTACTAGGTACTAGGTACTAGGTACTAGGTACTAGGTACTACTACTACTACTACCACCACCACCACCACCACAACGACGACGACTACAACTATAAATATTACAACCATAACTGCATCTACAACTAATCCTACTCCTACCGACTCCGAGGACCGACTCCAGGTCTGACCGCGACCGCGACCGCCACTGCTAGTGCTACGGCGGTGGCGAGGACGACGACGACTGCTACTGCCACGGCGACCGACTACCGTAAAGTTTTCTCTATGTAAGCATCTCTTTGCATGTGTATGCATGTGTATATATATATATAGATACACAACATTTAATTTCTACCTCATGCACACTGTACGTAAAGAATTAGTGTGCGTATATAATTACACGTGTTACACTAGAAAACCCCACACCATCTCTCGCCATGCCCCACTGCTGGCAGGCCTAGGGTCTCGTGAAAGAAGTCCGTCTCCCGGACGAACATGTGCACACCCCACAAGGTGGACCAAGCGAAGATCATCCCAAGGATGCTCTGGAACTTCTCAGTCCTTGGTGTAGGGTTTAGGGTTTAGTGTAGGTAGTTCTTGGCCTCTGGCGAGGCTAGGAGTAGAGGTCGAGGGTTTTCGTTTAGGGATTCAGTCTGGCTGAGCAGTTGGGCGCCCTGTGTAAAGGACTTCGGCATACTCAGACCTGACACCACGGCTTCCGGTCCGACCGCCGCCAAGGAATCGAACTCCAGCAACCGTAATGTGTCACAAGCGAGTCTACTACCAGAAACGACCCGTGCCGGCTGCCCCTCTTGAGCAACCACGAGCGAACGAGCAGCACGTGACACTCCTATAGCAAGTGGAATGCCGGCAAGCAAAACGTCCTGCGGGCGGAGGGGTTTGCGTATGTGATTTTATGCAAACGAAACGACCAGCCCCATTTTTGGCAATCCACATATTGCCGTTACAGTGCTTGCCTGTCCGGCCAAGTCTACAATACTGGCGGAGGGTGAAAGCAAGATCAGCTCCAGTCCAACTAGTTTAAGCCTTGTGCCAGAAGCCAAGAGTTTTCCCTGACCTGACCATGACCGGACCTGACCAGGCAAAGCGGCAGCCAAAGAAGCAGTCGATTCTCACACGGGATGAACGTCAACCTCGGGTTGCAGATAATATAGAGGCATTGGTAGATAGAATAGGGTTTCAGGTATGTTAAAGTAGAAATAGCAAGGAACCCGAAAGAACAGCATGACTACTTACTCGGGCTTCTATGTCGTCTGACGCAGCTTGGTTCATGCCTATCACTGCAAAGAGGCTTTGAAAAAGGTAAGGCCGGATGACGGTTGATCCTGGATCATGCTTACCCGCTGGCTACAGGAATGGTGCTTGCAACTGCGCTCGCTTACTGCACCAGTATCAAGCACATACTGGAGTAGTGCTAGTTTGCTTCGGAGCCTTCAAAATCCCACATCCAGGCTGCGCGAGGGAGATGGCCAGCGCAACCAACCCGCATAGGAGAAGCCTGCGCCCATGTGACTGTGAAGGCGCACACATGCACAGTTGTGTATATACGTTGTGACTAGACATATTGCAATGATATATATATATGTGTGTGTGTGTGTGTGCAAATGTTTATGTACGTATGTAGGCAGGACCTGGGGTAGAGGCGCTTGAACACCAAGCAATCAGACGGTGGCAGCAGCGAGACGATGTACACGATGACGCACTGTGCTGTAAGCCTAGACATGCCACGAGCCGCAAACCAGCCATCGGACCCTGAGATAGCCAAGGCACATTCCGATCGTGAACATGCCGGAGGGGTCGTATGGGCTGATCCTCCCGGCCTTGTAAGAAATCTGGCCGGGCTTCATTGTGCAGGATCCCAAAAAAGAAGCTCTAGTAAGACTCCAGAAGGAGCCCAAGCTCTCGGGGAGACTCTTCGTAGTCACACCATGGATTGGAGATCCCCACCCCATGGACTGCTGGCGCCTATCACGATGACATCGTATTTATCGCTGATGTTACACTGTTGCGCAAATGCGCCGGAATACGAAGCAGAGCAAGGCTTGCAGTCACCGCCAAGCAGCCATATCCGGGAGCTTGCCTGCACTGGGTAGCAACAGGGCGACTCTTGTCAACACAACGTTTCGGTTTCGGGCCTCGGCGCAGGTTCAACATGGTATGGAGTTGTGCCAAATTTAAGCTCAAAGTGCATGTTGCCGCTTCCCCAGGCAGACGAACCTTTAACCTGATGGTGTGTAACATGTCAGGAAAGCACTCCAGATCAATGAAACGGAAAGTCCATTGCCCAAGGAAAGGTTCAAAAGGCTGTCCTCCCCTCTCTGGTCCTTCGAATTATGCTATTTCGGAATGATACCATCGACTGAACTGTTCTTTGCTTTTTCAGGAAGAGAGTCCTAGTGCGACACTTTAATTAACCCGATGTCAGGCTTAAGGCTTAGGGTGCTCAACCCTACACTCCTAAACACTCTTAGCCCCACCTGACAATGAGAATCGCAGGACTTGCACCGTCAGGAAAGAACTGGCGAGGCTGATGATGTCGTTCTCGGCCTGCAACATCGTGCGCAATGGAATGGGGCTTAGGGGCTTAGGGTTGACAGGTGTTTAGGATTTAATTCAAGGAAAGGCGGCAGTGCGCTATTACATGAAAGAGCAGCTGCACAATGGCAGCAATCCTACGTTCAGGGAGCTTCGGCGGTCCTTGGAATCCAACAGTCCTTTTCTGAGCCGGGACCCCTCAACCCCCAAATCCCTAAACCCTATATCCGTGGCTGGGAGAACGCTTTCTTGGACTTTTCTTCTGCTCAGAACTATCTTGCCTCGTCGATGGCTTCATCGAGCATGACCTGATTTCGAGACGGTGCGGGGTTGAATCAGGCATTCTAAGGTCTTATTTACATGAAAGCCTGTGCTTTATCTCTGTATACTTCGCAAGGCACTGTATTACATTATGTATATGATATGATATATATATATATATATGTACGTGTATGTGTATATATATATATAGATGTCTCTCTCTCTCTCACCAAGGCTCAAGGGATCTAAGCGGATGAGATGATGACAACATGACAGCAAAGTCAGCTGAAATCGACTCTCCCGGGAAAGTATCGCTTCTGCAAGAGCATAGGCTGGATTTTGGATTTAGGGTTGCAGGGATCAGGCTTCTCTGGTGGATCGGTTCGAGACCTAGGGTAGGACTGAGCCAAAGCTAAACCAAGAAAGGCCCGGAGAGAGGGAGGAATGCAAGCGCAAGCAAGACCTGGAGTCATCGCAGGCAGTAGAAGTGGAAAGCAATCCGCGTTTTGAATGTGGAAGCCGGGTTAAACGAAGGGGGCTGTCAACCGCGTCATGGCAGATGCTCCATACCACAAGACCGAACTGCTAAGTGCTTTTTCGGCCATTGCACGATGTCTTGCGACGCTCTGAGAGCATGGCGACTCGTTCGTCCTCCTTGTCGTAGATCGTGTAGAGCCTCGATGCAGTGCAACCCCAGAGGCAAGAGTGCTTCGCGCCTTCGGCACCCCCCCGGAATTCGTTGGTCACCATGCGTGCTCCCGGAGCACTCGTATCTTGATGCTTGAGCCGCTGACTAAAACCAGGATACTGGGAACTCACGCAATGTAGATCCCGGATTACTAGGCCCCTTGTCTTTAAGAGACTTCATCTTAAGATGCCTAGTGACGGTGACTTGGGGAAGGAGTTCTGCATCAATGGAGACTCATGGGTTTCAGCCTTATCATATCATGTCATATAGATAGATAGATAGATAGATAGATAGATAAATAGATAGATAGATAGAGAGAGAGCGAGAGAGAGAGAGAGAGAGAGACTGCCTAGATTCATGCTGCAGTTGGCAAGCGCGAAAAAGCAATTCCGAAACCCAGTACCAACCAACTTGAATCATTCTGCGGCTTTCTGAAAGCAAAGCAAGATAAACTGGACAGCTTGCCGCCACCTGAATCCACACACACACACACACAAAGACCTCGAATCTTCGGTTCTGCGCCCAGAATCACCGCAAACCCACAGCACGTACCCCACATCTCGTGGTTCGACTCGGCGATTCATGGGTCGGGCATTTTTTGTTCAGGGTTGAGGGCTTAACCCAGAACCGACGCGTGAAGCAACATGAACCCTACACCTCGGTCCAGAACCACCTCCCCCACATCCGGGCCTGAACAGATCCATACCGCGGAAGAGTATCCCGATGCTCACCTGCATCTCAGGGCCGCCTTGCACTCATATACGGGGTCTTAGCCCCGTGCCACTTATTTTGGGGTACCTTGTAACAAAAAGATCATTGCCAACTATTCCGAACCCGATCTTACGAGGTGCAGGGGTTTACAGTCGAAGGTATGGAGCAGATGGCGCGGGCTTCATGATGATCCCGACATTCAGTGGCATCGGCATCTCGTTTTTTCTAAGACGAAGAGAGCAAAAGGCCAGAAGCGCCCTTGGACATGCTCTTCTGATTCCGAATCTATGGAAAGATGAGATACATGGAGATCGTGGGGTCCCTTAAGGAGGCTAGGATGTAGTATCTTCCTCTGCATCCGAACTTGCAGACCCTGCATCCCATCCGTAAATCTGGGAGTTTCTCTCACAGCGCCTGGGGTAGTTTAGGTGCTGTACATAGTCTCATCGTTGTTGCTGCCATCGTTGATGTGACAATGACGAAGCACGAAAAAGCCACCGAAAACCCCATAAACCTTAACTAGTTGCTGGACCGAAACACCAACCCTCAACGTTCTCATCATCATATCCTATCGACTCCGTCACACTCAGCCCCAGAAGGCCTCACCCATATATATATATATAGATATAGATATAGATATAGATATAGATTTATCTATTTATTTATTTATTTATATACGTGTATGTATGTATGTATGAATGAATGAATGTATGTATGTATGTATATGTATTTATATGTATATGTATATGTATATGTATATATATATACATATATATATATGTATATATATATACACGTATATATTCACATACATACACATGTGTATGTAAT